AGCAGTACCTCAGCCAAACGGTCAGCCAGAGCTTTGACCATGATGCTGCTGTAGTCGTCTCCTTGAGCCTGGAACTGCTGACTCAGCTCCTCAGCACCAAACACGCTGACAACAAACATCCCGATGTAATCCGCCACGCCGCTGTCTACGGGCGCCACAAAGTCAGACACACACAGGTAGGGCTCTGAGCTGGAGCTGTCCTTCTCAGCCTGAAAGCAGAAACACACACGCACACATGCACTCCGGTGATTCAGCAGACCCCCCCCCCAGCAGGTCTGTGTGTGAACACGACTTCCTCACCTGCTGCCGTAAGCCATGAAAGGTAGCATGAGGCTTTGTGCCACTGCCAGTTCTGATGTCATCTTCATACACGTAGATGTCATCACCATCACTCTGAGCCCGCCAGAATCCCACCAGGCCCCGCCCCTTCACGTCACCGCAGTCAATCATGTGGCTGAGCAGCTTTTGGGCGTCATCAAAGATCTTGCGAGCCTCCGTGCCTGCAGGATGAAGCCACTGGTCATTTCTTTACCTTTCCTGCCGAGAAGCAGCCCGACACATTGCCAGTAAACAGGACAACCAGTACCAACAGTCTTGTCATTGAAGATCTTGGGGTATCCTCTATTGGGGTATTTCCCTCTCAGCTGCCAAACATCAAAGAAGGGTTTCCAGTCAATGAAGTCCTGCAGACTCTTCAGATCATAGCTGTCAAACACACGGGTGCCCAGGAACTGAGGACGCTCTGCAACAATACGAGTTAGCATAAACCTGACACACTTCCTGTTTCATACAGCAGCGTGTGGGTAACAGGAAGTGACCCGTACAAACTCACCAGGCTTAGGCTGAGAGAACCAGTCAATCTGCAAAGCCTTCTTTCTGGCTTCCACAAGCGACAGATACCGACGGTCCTGCAGAAACAGGAAGAGAGCTTCAACTCTGTATGAAACTCTGCAGACTGAACATGAAAATAGTCTCCTACACCATCTCCTGCATTAGCCTCTGATAGAAAACAGACGGTGAGACTCTAGGATTAGAAAAGCCTGACAGTTCTACGTCACCCTGTCACTAACATTCATGGACTCACCCATCTCAACTCGGGAAGGAGGAGGTTGTTGGTTTAGCGCCCAGGAAACAGCAGAGTGCATCTTTGCTGTTGAATGCTAACATTAGCATTAGCAACTCCACCACACAGCAGAACTCCTCTAAGCTTGTGTTTTTGTGGAGATAAAACATCAATGTTGCAAAGCAAACAGAGCCAGAGGCAGAGTCGCATTGCTGCTAGCCAATCAGAGGCAACGCTACACATCCTGCCTTCTGATGTGGCTCGGTTCTAGTTCCACAATGTCGTGCACCAGCGCTTTGTTTCCCCAGAGTAAGAGTTACAAGGCACTCATTCCAACTTGAGACCTTTACAAATGTAGTGATGAAATGAGAGAACCGCATCTTTAAAGGTGGTTTTTGACGAGCACCACTCAACCTAAAACAGCTCTGTGCAGCGTAGATGGAGACAGCCCATGTGAGTGGAGTTGTGCTCCCATGACAGCCCCACGACCAGGGAGTTTGGGCCCCATGAGCAGTTATCACACTGGCATATCACCAAAAGCCACAAGTGAGGACATCAGTTTGTTCTCAAAGCATCAGCGACGATAAACCCGAGTGTTGCTTTAAGATGCTGCATGGGGACATTTAGTAATCAACCATATGTGAGTGTATATCTGTTTGAGGTCTAGAAATGGGACGACATGCGCGCCGACAGCGAGCTGCGCAGAGCTCAGTGTCCACGCTAAGATATTCTGATGGGAGTCTTGTCTTGACTGATGTAGCTACGTCCAGGATGTGTGTAACGATTAAAATGTCTGCGCGTCTGCAGCCTTGAGGTTTCACCTTCACAATCAACAGCCACATACGGGAAATATCCAGTCACTACAAACCCCGTCATTTAACGGTTGTGTGTGTTGTGAAGATTGTTGTCAAGACAAACGAGTACATTTGATTTACACCAGAGCCATGCGCCGTTATCTCCATCGCTGTAAACGAGGGGGAAAACACAACGACCGGATTCTTTTATTACCTTTTCAACATTGTTTAATGTAAAGTTTCACTGAGTAACAAGTCAAACAGTTTTATTAACAGGTGTGCACATAAGTGGTCCGCAGGTGCGCATGTGCTGTCAAAATAAACAAAGCGCACCTGAAAAAAAGCTGCAGCACGCATTTGCGCACCTAAGATTTTGTGGAGGAAGGAAACATTTCTGGAGCATTTTAAAGATGTCCAAGAAGCAAGCTCCATGAAGTTATTATTTTGGTGTTCCTCCGCCTCCAAAAAACCGTCTGACTGAGTCGGAACCGCAAAAGAAAAGAGTATTCGCGGAGAAGTGGCTGCAGGAGGTCGGCTGGATGCAAACAAACGATGAACGCACAGAGATGTGGTGCAGATTACGCCGTGAAAATCCCGCCCTGGCAGACAAAAGCAGCGCCTTTTACGTAGGCACTGAAGACTTCAATCATCCAGCGTCTGATAAACATGCTAACAGCAGAGAACATCAGAAAGTTGTCCTCTGCTGCGTGTGAACTGGATGAAGCCAGTCAGGATAGTGAGGAGGATGATGATGATGAGGATGAGAGTCTGTAGAAATAAAAACGGCATTTATGCCATTTTAAAAACTTCAGTGCTCTGAAATAGTAATTTTGTTAAGGGCTTTAAAATTCATTTTATTTGATTTTTGTCATCACAAAAGCAGCTGTTTACACGTTGTGTTCTACATTCAGACAATTCAGTCATGCTGTTTGAAAATTAGAAGGTTTAAGTTTAGATATGTACCTGTTGTACTTGTTTTCAGTCAAAATTAAAACGCGTTGCTCTGTTTTGTTCCTATTGTGAGTTGGGTTAAGAATTAAGTGCATTAAAAAACGTGAGGACCAAGCAAGAACCATAGGTTCTCCCCGGAGTACCAACCCAAAAATATTATGTGCACCCGTTTATTAACTATCTTCCGTTGAGAGATAACTTTGAGGTACATGAGCGGCCGGTACTGGTTGCTGTCACCTGTTGTGATCGGTTAAAGCAGCTCTCGGCCGTTTTAGGATGGGCCCAAGTGCAAGTGGGTGGGCCCGGGCCCGGCAGGCCCACTCACAACGCCGCGGCCGCTGTGTTTTCTTTACTGTGGGAAACGGGCAACACTGGCTCTTTGATGGGAAAAGGTTTCCGACCCCTGCCCTACACCATGATGGTGAGCAATTTTGTTTTAAAGTCAAGTCATCTTTCAACTTACAACTGGCCCCCATAAACGCGCTCTCATTCACCTGTGTATGGAGGTCAAAGGACACTAAGCTGACCAAGCCAGTTTTCAGTTCCAATAATACATTAGTAAAGTTTTGGAAGTTACGCACCTGCCAAATTTTGTTTAAACGCTGTTTTATTGCACCGTCTGTAAATTCTAGACACGTTGTTTAACTTCTCAGATATCACCACGTGTGTCTCCTATTTGATACATTTAACTGGAAATCTTTACCGTAACAACCACTTGTTCATACAGCGTGATCACGGTGATCAACAAAGCTGGCCTAAGATGGGCCTATCTTTGATCTGAAGGGTTGTTTGCATGCTTAAGGCTGGTTGCAGAGTAGAGGCATCTTTGGACCACCAGACTGACCTCAAAGCCAGTCGCTACATGGTCTACTCAGAACCTCTACATGGTCTACTCAGAACCTCTACATGGTGTACTCAGAACCTCTACATGGTCTACTCAGAACCTCTACATGGTCTACTCAGAACCTCTACATGGTCTACTCAGAACCTCTACATGGTGTAGTCAGAACCTCTACATGGTCTACTCAGAACCTCTACATGGTGTAGTCAGAACCTCTACATGGTGTACTCAGAACCTCTACATGGTGTAGTCAGAACCTCTACATGGTGTACTCAGAACCTCTACATGGTGTACTCAGAACCTCTACATGGTGTAGTCAGAACCTCTACATGGTGTAGTCAGAACCTCTACATGGTCTACTCAGAACCTCTACATGGTGTAGTCAGAACCTCTACATGGTGTAGTCAGAACCTCTACATGGTCTACTCAGAACCTCTACATGGTCTACTCAGAACCTCTACATGGTCTACTCAGAACCTCTACATGGTCTACTCAGAACCTCTACATGGTCTACTCAGAACCTCTACATGGTGTAGTCAGAACCTCTACATGGTCTACTCAGAACCTCTACATGGTGTACTCAGAACCTCTACATGGTCTACTCAGAACCTCTACATGGTCTACTCAGAACCTCTACATGGTGTACTCAGAACCTCTACATGGTCTACTCACAACCTCTACATGGTGTACTCAGAACCTCTACATGGTGTACTCAGAACCTCTACATGGTGTACTCAGAACCTCTACATGGTCTACTCACAACCTCTACATGGTGTACTCAGAACCTCTACATGGTCTACTCAGAACCTCTACATGGTGTACTCAGAACCTCTACATGGTCTACTCAGAACCTCTACATGGTGTAGTCAGAACCTCTACATGGTGTACTCAGAACCTCTACATGGTCTACTCAGAACCTCTACATGGTGTAGTCAGAACCTCTACATGGTCTACTCAGAACCTCTACATGGTGTACTCAGAACCTCTACATGGTGTACTCAGAACCTCTACATGGTCTACTCAGAACCTCTACATGGTGTACTCAGAACCTCTACATGGTGTACTCAGAACCTCTACATGGTGTACTCAGAACCTCTACATGGTCTACTCAGAACCTCTACATGGTGTACTCAGAACCTCTACATGGTCTACTCAGAACCTCTACATGGTGTAGTCAGAACCTCTACATGGTGTAGTCAGAACCTCTACATGGTGTACTCAGAACCTCTACATGGTGTAGTCAGAACCTCTACATGGTCTACTCAGAACCTCTACATGGTGTAGTCAGAACCTCTACATGGTCTACTCACAACCTCTACATGGTGTACTCAGAACCTCTACATGGTCTACTCAGAACCTCTACATGGTGTACTCAGAACCTCTACATGGTGTACTCAGAACCTCTACATGGTGTACTCAGAACCTCTACATGGTGTACTCAGAACCTCTACATGGTGTAGTCAGAACCTCTACATGGTGTACTCAGAACCTCTACATGGTCTACTCAGAACCTCTACATGGTGTACTCAGAACCTCTACATGGTCTACTCAGAACCTCTACATGGTGTACTCAGAACCTCTACATGGTCTACTCACAACCTCTACATGGTGTACTCAGAACCTCTACATGGTCTACTCAGAACCTCTACATGGTGTACTCAGAACCTCTACATGGTGTACTCAGAACCTCTACATGGTCTACTCAGAACCTCTACATGGTGTAGTCAGAACCTCTACATGGTGTAGTCAGAACCTCTACATGGTCTACTCAGAACCTCTACATGGTCTACTCAGAACCTCTACATGGTGTACTCAGAACCTCTACATGGTGTACTCAGAACCTCTACATGGTCTACTCAGAACCTCTACATGGTGTACTCAGAACCTCTACATGGTGTACTCAGAACCTCTACATGGTGTAGTCAGAACCTCTACATGGTCTACTCAGAACCTCTACATGGTCTACTCAGAACCTCTACATGGTGTAGTCAGAACCTCTACATGGTGTAGTCAGAACCTCTACATGGTGTAGTCAGAACCTCTACATGGTCTACTCAGAACCTCTACATGGTCTACTCAGAACCTCTACATGGTCTACTCAGAACCTCTACATGGTCTACTCAGAACCTCTACATGGTCTACTCAGAACCTCTACATGGTGTAGTCAGAACCTCTACATGGTGTACTCAGAACCTCTACATGGTCTACTCAGAACCTCTACATGGTGTACTCAGAACCTCTACATGGTCTACTCAGAACCTCTACATGGTCTACTCACAACCTCTACATGGTGTAGTCAGAACCTCTACATGGTCTACTCAGAACCTCTACATGGTGTAGTCAGAACCTCTGCATGGTGTAGTCAGAACCTCTACATGGTCTACTCAGAACCTCTACATGGTCTACTCAGAACCTCTACATGGTCTACTCAGAACCTCTACATGGTGTAGTCAGAACCTCTACATGGTGTAGTCAGAACCTCTACATGGTCTACTCAGAACCTCTACATGGTCTACTCAGAACCTCTACATGGTGTAGTCAGAACCTCTACATGGTGTAGTCAGAACCTCTACATGGTCTACTCAGAACCTCTACATGGTCTACTCAGAACCTCTACATGGTCTACTCAGAACCTCTACATGGTGTAGTCAGAACCTCTACATGGTGTAGTCAGAACCTCTACATGGTCTACTCAGAACCTCTACATGGTCTACTCAGAACCTCTACATGGTCTACTCAGAACCTCTACATGGTGTAGTCAGAACCTCTACATGGTGTAGTCAGAACCTCTACATGGTGTAGTCAGAACCTCTACATGGTCTACTCAGAACCTCTACATGGTCTACTCAGAACCTCTACATGGTGTACTCAGAACCTCTACATGGTGTACTCAGAACCTCTACATGGTGTAGTCAGAACCTCTACATGGTGTACTCAGAACCTCTACATGGTGTACTCAGAACCTCTACATGGTGTAGTCAGAACCTCTACATGGTGTACTCACAACCTCTACATGGTGTACTCACAACCTCTACATGGTGTACTCAGAACCTCTACATGGTGTACTCAGAACCTCTACATGGTGTAGTCAGAACCTCTACATGGTGTACTCACAACCTCTACATGGTGTACTCACAACCTCTACATGGTGTACTCACAACCTCTACATGGTGTAGTCGGATTCCAACAATCTTACCTTCAGGGAGTCATAGTGGTCCTGCCGGACCTCCTCATACTCCTCCTTCACATCCTCAAAGTACTCCTCCCTCGCTGCCTCATCCAGAAGCTGTGAGCACTGAACACATTGAGAACAACACACATAGAGCTCAAGAAGCTGGAAAGGTGATGTAGAAATAGGTCAAGTCTGACTGACCACACGAGATGGGAATGGTAAAAGTTCCATTAGTCATCATCACATATCGGTGAAACGACATCTCTTCATTGACCCATTCCCATGGGGAGCGGTACGCTACAGCAGTGGCTGTGCTCAGGAACTATGTGGTTTAACCCCCTAATCCAACCCCTTAAAGCAGGGTGTCAAGCAGGGAGGCATCAGGTCACAATTTTAGTCTTTGGTATGACCCGACTGAGATTTGAACCCAATCTTCCAGTCTCAGGGCAGGCACTCGCACCACTAGGCCACTGAAAAGGAAGAGAGACAGAAGCCGAATGGGGGGGGGGGGGGGGCAAATATGGCCTAACTTAAAGAAATAAACCATTAAAATAAAGGGTTCAAAAGAGCCTGAATATCATGATGTGGTATGGTGTTGATTATAGGCGACAACACTGGCACAAAAGGGGTACCGAGGAACTGCTGGTGAGAGTAGACGGATTCAGATCATTTTCAGTCTCAACTACAGGTGCTGGTCATAAAATTAGAATATTATGATAAAGTTGATTCATTTAAGTAATTCCATTCAAATAATTGACACTTGTATATTAGATTCATTCATTACACACAGACTGATATATTTCTAAGGTTTGCTTCTTTAATTTTGATGATTATAACTGACAACTAATGAAAACTCCAAACTCAGTACACCCCTCAATGGGCTGCCACCTTACCGTGGTGGAGGGGGGTGAGTGTCCCAATGATGCGCCCGTGGAGAATGAGCTGATCTGGAAGGCCAGGGCTCCCGGTCGCAGCGTTCTGGCCCTGCTTGTAATTTAACAGTCCCGGTGCATATTAGAGCTCACATTTGGCCTAGAGACGAGCCCGCGGGCGGCAACACCCCCCACCCCCACTGTTCTCCCAATGGGGAGGGCCGACTGAGGGCCGATGATCTGTAAAAATGCCAGGGCCGAATTTTGGTCCCAGTCCACCCCTGCAGTGCCATTTTTATTCAAGACTTTTCAGAGTTTTTATCAATCCTGCACAACTCCCCTGAAAGGATCATTTTAGCCGGTGATTTTATCCTTCTGATCCTTTCTCAAAGCAGTTTTTAAACATTCTGAATTACATGGATTTTAGTCAACATGTCATGCAGCCAACTCACAACAGAGGACACATTTGGATTTGGTCCTCCCCCATGGCCTGTCCACCAACGTGTCCTCTGCTGTTGACTTGGCTGTCTCTGACCACTACTGTGTGTTTTTTTAGCATCACCAGTTTTATCCGGCTGGAACCGTCTGTGAGAACTGTAAGGAAGTGTCATCTCCTCCCTGAAGTGGCTGCTGGTTTCCTTGAAGTTTTTAGAAAGGTCCCTCCCACTCCGGTACCTGCCTCTAGTGATTTTATTGTAACAGTAGACTGAAATCCGGTCTCGACCGGCTCGCACCACTTAAAATCAAAAATCTATATTTAAAACATACTTCACTGTGGAGAAATGAAAATCTAAAGAAACTAAAGAGAAACTGCAGGGTCACAGAGTGGAGATGGAGAAATAATGAAATAACTAAATTATCAAATATATACAGACCTACTTAAATCATATAATAACGCAGTGAGAAATTCAAGAAATGCATACCTTTCCAAAATCATTCTAGACCATAAACACAATCCCAGAATACTTTTTTCCACCATAAACAACATTTTAAATCGTACATCCATTTTCATCCACTTATCCGGAGTCGAGTCGTGGGGGCAGTAGCCTACGTCGAGAGGCCCAGGCTTCCCTCTCCCCAGCCACTTGGGCCAGTTCCTCCGGGAGAATCCCAAAGCGTTCCCTAGCCAGGTGAGAGACATAGTCCCTCCACCGTGTCCTTGGTCTACCTTTAGGTCTCCTCCCGGTTGGACGTGCCCGGAAAACCTCACCAGGGAGGCGTCCAGGAGGCATCCTGACCAGATGCCCGAGCCACCTCAACTGGCTCCTCTCGATGTGGAGGAGCAGCGGGTCTACTCTGAGCCCCTCCCGGATGACCGAGCTTCTCACCCTATCTCTAAGGGAGAGCCCAGCCACTGTGGAGAAAACTCATTTCGGCCGCTTGTATCCGCGATCTCGTTCTTTCGGTCACTACCCAAAGCTCATGACCATAGGTGAGGGTAGGAACGTAGATCCACCGGTAAATCAAGAGCTTCGACTTCTGACTCAGCTCTCTCTTCACCACGACAGACCGGTACAACGCCCGCATCACTGCAGATGCAGCACCAATCCACCTATCGATCTCACGCTCCAGTTTTCTCTCACTCGTGAACAAGACCCCGAGATACTTAAACTCCTCCACTTGGGACAGGACCTCATCCCTGACCCGGAGAAGGCATTCTACCCTTTTCTGAATCAAGACCATGGTCTCAGATTTAGAGGAGCTGATTCTCATCCCAGCTGCTTCACACTCGGCTGCGAACTGTTCCAGCAAAAACCGTACATCCAATTCACTTCAGAAAACCCCCTCAAATGCTCTCTGTGAGGAGTTTGCAGCCCACTTCAGAGGGAAGATAGACACCATCAGAAAGAATATGTTATCCTCCCTAAGTAACAGGGGTTTTAGATAAATCTGAATGTGTGTCTATACCAGAGGAAACTCTGGACAGTTTTGTCCTGGTAGAAACTGAGACTCTTGATAAAGTTTTCTCCTCAGTGAGACCCACCACATGTGTTCTGGGCCCATTTCTAACTTCGCTTTTTAAACAATTCTGTGGATCTGTTAGTGATGAGATTTTAACCCCAGAGATAACGCGACAGGGAAAAAAGGAAGTGAGGAAGTGAGGGAGTACTGATGAAACCTAAGTGGTTATGGACAATAGCGGAGCTGTACAAAAAATGGCACATAGCATTAGACTCAAAGAATCTCAATGTGAGAATTACAAAAAATGGTTGTGACATGTCTGAATTTGCAATGATTGAAATGAGACAATTGTTCAAACCATCAGGGAAGATCTGCTGTACTAGAATGTGTACCAATTCCCCATTTACAGTGGGGCAAAAAAGTATTTAGTCAGCCACCGATTGTGCAAGTTCTCCCACTTAAAATGATGACAGAGGTCAGTAATTTTCATCATAGGTACACTTCAACTGTGAGAGACAGAATGTGAAAAAAAAAATCCATGAGTTCACATGGCAGGATTTTTAAAGAATTTATTTGTAAATCAGGGTGGAAAATAAGTATTTGGTCAATAACAAAAATTCAACTCAGTACTTTGTAACATAACCTTTGTTGGCAATAACAGAGGTCAAACGATTACTATAGGTCTTTACCAGGTTTGCACACAGACTAGCTGGTATTTTGGCCCATTCCTCCATGCAGATCTTCTCGAGAGCAGTGATGTTTTGGGGCTGTCGCCGAGCAACACGGACTTTCAACTCCCTCCACAGATTTTCTATGGGGTTGAGGTCTGGAGACTGGCTAGGCCACTCCAGGACTTTCAAATGCTTCTTACGGAGCCACTCCTTTGTTGCCCGGGCGGTGTGTTTGGGATCATTGTCGTGTTGGAAGACCCAGCCACGTTTCATCTTCAAAGCTCTCACTGATGGAAGGAGGTTTTGGCTCAGAACCTCACGATACATGGCCCCATTCATTCTTTCCTTAACACGGATCAGTCGTCCTGTCCCCTTAGCAGAAAAACAGCCCCAAAGCATGATGTTCCCACCCCCATGCTTCACAGTAGGTATGGTGTTCTTGGGATGCAACTCAGTATTCTTCTTCCTCCAAACACGACGAGTTGAGTTTATACCAAAAAGTTCTACTTTGGTTTCATCTGACCACATGACATTCTCCCAATCCTCTGCTGTATCATCCATGTGCTCTCTGGCAAACTTCAGACGGGCCTGGACATGCACTGGCTTCAGCAGCGGAACACGTCTGGCACTGCAGGATTTGATTCCCTGCCGTTGTAGTGTGTTACTGATGGTGACCTTTGTTACTGTGGTCCCAGCTCTCTGCAGGTCATTCACCAGGCCCCCCTGTGTGGTTCTGGGATTCTTGCTCACCGTTCTCATGATCATTTTGACCCCACGGGATGAGATCTTGCGTGGAGCCCCAGATCGAGGGAGATTATCAGTGGTCTTGTATGTCTTCCATTTTCTGATAATTGCTCCCACAGTTGATTTTTGCACACCAAGCTGCTTGCCTATTGTAGATTCACTCTTCCCAGTCTGGTGCAGGTCTAGAATTCTATTCCTGGTGTCCTTCAAAAGCTCTTTGGTCTTGGCCATAGTGGAGTTTGGAGTCTGACTGTTTGAGGCTGTGGACAGGTGTCTTTTATACAGATAATGAGTCCAAACAGGTGCCATTAATACAGGTAACGAGTGGAGGACAGAGAAGCTTCTTAAAGAAGACGTTACAGGTCTGTGAGAGCCAGAGATTTTCCTTGTTTGAAGTGACCAAATACTTATTTTCCACCCTGATTTACAAATAAATTCTTTAAAAATCCTGCCATGTGAATTCATGGATTTTTTTCACATTCTGTCTCTCACAGTTGAAGTGTACCTATGATGTAAATTACTGACCTCTGTCATCATTTTAAGTGGGAGAACTTGCACAATCGGTGGCTGACTAAATACTTTTTTGCCCCACTGTGTGTGATCTCTGGTTTCATGGCGTATTTTGTTGTGTTATTGTTTTGACTGTATATGTTACTTGCTTAAAAAATCAATAAAGAATAAATAACAAAAAAACAAAAGAAGAGTTCTTACCACCACCACACTCCTGGAGGCATCCAGAACATGGATAACAGGAGAGCTGTAGCGTGGTGCGATCTTCACTGCAGTATGTGTCCTACCAGGCACACGAACAAACAAATACACAAGCTCTCAACACTAATCACTGTGTTTTTCTATCGTTTACGGAGAGTAGATGTGTTACTTGGATGTTGTGGCTCCTCCAATCAGCAACGGTGTTGTCATTCCAAGCCTCTCCATTTCTTTGGCCACATGAATCATCTCATCCAGGGATGGAGTGATGAGGCCTGACAAGCCGATGACATCTGACCACCAAACACAAATGAGGAAATTAAAACCCGTCTGCATATTTTAAAATGCTGCAGAGAGAATTTGGTTGGTGTAAATCTTCAATGGCACAACAAAAATGGAAGTCAAATCATTATTTACAGATCTACAGCGTGGACCATTTATATGGATACACCTTAATAAAATAGGAGTGGTTGGTGATATTAACGTCCTGTTTGTGGCACATTAGTAGATGTGAGGGGGCAACATTTTCAACATGGGTGGTGACCATGGTGGCCATTTTGAAGTTGGCCATCTTTGATCCAACTTTTGGTTTTTCAATAGGAAGAGAGTCATGTGACACTTGAAACTTATTGGGAATTTCACAAGAAAAACAATGGTGCACTTGGTTTGAACGTAACTTTATTCTTTGAGTTATTTACAAGTGTCTCTTTGTTCACAGCCACCCACATGTTGAAGAGGTTGACACGTGAGGAGCAGATCAAAATTGTGTTGATATCTGGTGAACGCAGTAACCGGGTCATTGCAGCAGACTTATGCATGACACCCTTCGAGAACACCCATTTCCCATGCTACAGTTGGCAAACTGCTAGCTAAGTTTTGTGAAACTAGTTCAGTGATGGTTTTGCCAAAATGTAGACGCATGAAAACTGTCACTAATGAAGAAACATCACTGGCTGTCCTAGCTTCATTCAGCAACAGCCCACAGCGTAGCACTCGCCGCATGTCACTGGAGAGTGGCATTAGTTGAACATTCCTTCAGCGCATATTAGCTACTCACAAATGGCACCCTTACAAACTCCAGTTACTGTAGCATCTCAACGAGCATGACCCAGATCGGCACACAGAATTTGCAGAATGGGTGAAACAAAAATCAGAACAGGACCCTCAGTTCACGCTGAGGATTTTGTTCAGTGATGAGAATAACTTATGTGAATGGTGAAGTTAGCAAACAAAACTACCGCTATTGGTGTGACACTGACCCACATTGGATAGATCCATCCAAGACTGTTGGAACAAAACAAGTGATGGTATGGTGTGGTATATGGGGTACAAAGACAGTGGGGCCATTCTTCATCAATGGAAACCTCAAAGCCACTGGATTATTGAAATTACTACTTGATAATGTGTTTCCCTCTTTATGCACTGAAGCTAGCATGTTCCCGAGGTTTTTTCAGCAAGATGGTGCACCACCACATTATGGGTAACAGGTCCGAGCATTCCTAGATGAACAGTTTCCTGGAAAGTGGATTGGTTGTCGTGGGCCAGTTGAATGGCCCCAAGGTCTCCCGATCTGACCCCCTTAGACTTTTATCTTTGGGGTCATCTGAAGGCAATTGTCTACGGTGTGAAGATACGAGATGTGCAGCACCTGAAACCATGGATACTGGAAGCCTGTGCTGGCATTTCTCCTGAGGTGTTGCCATCAGTGTGTGAAGAGTGGGAGCAGAGTTGCATTGACAATCCAACACAATGGGCAGCACATTGAACACATTTTATAAGTGGTCAGAAACTTGTAAATAACTCATGAAAGAATAAAGTTCCATTCAAACCATTGTTTTTCTTGTGAAATTCCCAATAAGTTTCATGTGTCACATGGCCCTCTTCCTACTGATAAAACAAAAGTTGGATCCAAGATTGCCGACTTCAGAATGGCCAGCATGGTCACCACCCATCTTGAAAAGTTTGCCCCTCACATACACCAATGTGCCACGAAACAGGACGTTAATATCACCAACCATTCCCATTTTATTAAGGTGTATCCATATAAATGGCCCACCCTGTAAATTAACTCAGCATGTTTTTAACAATTACAAGGTTAATAAAAGTAATGGATTAGATGTATATAGCACTTTTCTAGGGATTCAATGCACTTTTGATTATTCATGCACTCACTCAATCACACACTGTGGGTGACGGTAAGCTACTATTGCCACTTACACACTAGCATCGGCTCCTCTCCACTCCACCCCGCCCGCCCCAGCCTGACCGCATTTGTTCCACACTGCCTTAAAAATGCGGACGTGAATGGGCACATTAGCAGTCCGTGGCCTGTGATGTCATGACTGCATCTCCGAGCACATGAGCGGGACAAAAAAGCGGGGAGAAGTATGCAATGTCTCCATTATTAAACAAAAGCAGTCTGAGCAGCCTTGCTTTTGGACACTCTATGACGCTGATTTTGCAGCCTGCTTTGCCGTGCCTGGCAGCAATGTTTGTGTTTGTGTGTGTGTGTGTGTGTGTGTGTGTGCCTGCGCGCGTGCGCTCCTTACAGCAGCAAGAGACAAAGTAAAACTGCTTCAGTCAGAGGCTCGTTAACTCCACAGCATAATGAACTCCAACAGATTATGAAATGCACATGCCGGAACCCCCCCGTGGGCTGATTCTATCTGCCAATCGGAGCCTCCCCCCTATTGGTACGTTTAATTTTGGACCGGCCAATCAGCCGGCAGTGGGTGTGTGGGCCCTGTTTGGTTCCAGGCAGACCGCCTCGGGAAGAGGGCTGAAAAAACGTCCAGATGCACGCAGGAAAATCGAAGGCTCCCTAAATGAGAACACTCCCAACCTGGTCCAGGTGGAGTGGAGCCGATGTGTGTAAGTGCCATATGTAGCCACAGGTGCCCTGGGGTGGTCTGAGAGAAGCAAGGCTGTCATTTTGCGCAGCCTCAATTGCCAACACGGGCAAGTTGGGAGAAGTGTCTTGCACAAGGACACCACTCAGAATACAGGGAGCTGGAATCAATCCCACAATCCTCCGATCACGAGGTAACTCACTCTACATCCTGAGATACTGCTGCCCCACCCCAGGGTTCATTTGCTCACCAGCTTTTTGTGTCACAGCCTCTCTAAGGATTCGATCACAGGGAACCATCACACCAAGATCAATCACCCTGCAAAAGAGAACAAACATCACAAACCAAACACAGCACTGTCTAACCGTACTGGGTCCTCCTTGTTAAGTTTGGTTCCTAACTTCTCCAACAGCCTGTTGGGAAAACATCAGGAGACCAGGAGGCTGTTCCAGAACCTGGATGTCCATGAAGCAGATGTGGTCTTGAAGGCAACAAATATGAAACGTTGCCATTAACAAAGTAGATCTGAATGCATTTTAAGTTATTTTATTAAACACAGGAAAGTTTTTTTCCTTGCTGACAGTTTTGATCACTCCTGCAATCTTCAGAGCTAGCCGTTAATAGCGGCGTCACTTCCTTCTCCGTTTGTCCGCTGGCAGCAGAGGACGATGTTGCCCTCTGTTGCCCGCGCTCTCCTCACCGACGACACAGTTCCATGCATGATCTAATGTGTAGACCCCCTCGTCTCTGTTCATGGTTTTGTACCCACGACTCCATGTTTCTATGGCTTCCTTACTCCATCCTTTATATTTCTGTTGTTCGGTGTTTATGATCCTTGTGTTGTCCCAGTCCATCATACGGTTTTCTCTTGTGCAGTGATCTGTTACAGCTGATGTCTTTATTGTGCTTTCTGCTTCTTGTCTTGCTGCTCTTGTGTGTTTTGACTTGTTTCTTTCTCACATGCTTTTCTGTGTTCTATTGTTCGTGTGTTGAGTTGGCGTCCGGTTTCTCCTACGTATGTTTTATTGCAGAGTTTGCGTGGGATTTCGTTAATGACTCCACATTTATGTCCAGCTGGTATCGTCTTTTGGGTGCACTAGTCTGTTTCTGACTGTTGTGTATGGTTTTGTTGGTGTGTTTATGTTGTGTTTTTTTCATTGTTGCTATTATTTTTTTCTGTAATGCCTTTGATGTATGGTAGGGTTATCACTGGTTCTGGTTTGTTGCTTTGATTATTCTTTTCTTTCTGTTGTTTGTTGTTTTCCTTTGTTTATTGCCCATGTCGGATATACACATGTCTTTAAAGCATGTTGTATATGTTGGTCCTCTTGTTTACGGTCTCGTTCTTCTGTTATTATGTTTGCTTGGTGGTATAATGTTCTGATCGCCAGTGATGGGAGTAACGCCGTTTAAGTATAACGGCATTACTAACGGCATTCTTTTGTTTTTTTTGGCTAAAAGAATAATCTAATTAATTACTTTTCCCACTGTTGCAACGCCGTTACCGTTACTGGGGACGGAAGGTTGTGCGTTACTATGTGCTTGTCGAACGATGAGCAACAGTGTGAGGCTTTCTGACCGCCACACTTCAGCTGCAGCCAGGGAGAGAGAGGTGTCGGTAACGCACTTACAAACACGATGATGATTGGCCGGGTGGGCGGAGACCCTCAGTGTTCTCACTGTTACTGCATGCTGTAGACACAACAGAGCAGTGATGGGAATAAAGCCGTTTAAAATAACCGCGTTAATAAAAAAATATTTTTTTCGGTGACGCGCAAACTAATTAATTACAGTCTTCTTTTATCAAAACATTGTTTCTGTTACTGATAAGAAAATGCGTGCGTTGAGCAGCGCGGTGTGTTGAAGCTGTCATCAGCTGATCAGGAGCTAAAGAGGCAGATGTTTTCATCCAAGAGCATCACGGCCGTGAAGAACGAGGAACACGTGATTAATAGTCTACGGCTGCAGGTGTGGATCTGCAGCCGTGCCCTTCTTAGCGTGACAGCGGGACGTCCCGAAGGTCCGCTCACCTGTTCACCGCTCAGACGTCCTGATCTTCTACCTTCCTAGATCATCCAGCTGTAACCTGTTTCTGATCATGTCTTTAGTCCCGCTGTAACACTGATGCATCAGTCTCAGACGTCATGGAGCTCAGGTGTTATCAGAACTACCTGTGTGTGTTTACCACCCAGCTTCAGCTCTTCTGTGGTTGGGTCTGACCCAAGTTAGTAAATGTAAGTCCTCCATCAGGCTTGTGCCTCTTCTAGTGTCATTTTAAAGGATTTTATTTATTTATTTAACCGTTACTAGATTAGCAGCAACAGAAATGCTACTAAAAACACACAATTATGTGAAGCTGTAAACATTAGAATATTGTGCAAAATTACATTCATTTCTGTAATTTAACTAGACTGAGAGACCATTTAAAGGCTCGGGAACCTTTACAGGTGTTTCTATTTGCAATTTTAAATTTTAGCTGATTGGGGTCTTGTTAAATATCACAGAGTGACCTTTTAATAGTCTAGGTAAGTGTAATGTTCCTGTTAGTAGTTCCTCCTGTTAAGTGCTTATTTATTTAAATTATTCAGGTTTATAAAAAACATTTTGACATTTTAATATGTTCCAGTCATTAGTCATTTATGTTTCACTATTGTAGTAATTTATAGTAAATTAAGTAAGTTCAATTAACCCATTTTTCTTGCATTCCTTAATGAAAAAAGTAACGAAGTAGTTCTTTTTTTGGTAATTAGTTACTTTTATAATCTTGTAACTCAGTAACTGAGTTACTTTTTTGACAAAGTAATTAGTAACTATAACTAATTACTTTTTAAAAGTAACTTTCCCAACACTGCTGATCACTGACATTTTATATATAGTAGGGTGTTCTGATGTCCATGATAAATACTGGTCTGTGTGTGTTGGTTTCCTGTATGTGTTCATATTCAGGTCCCGTCTTTTTGTCTGATGCTTTTCATGTCCATGAAGGTTATGCTGCCTTCCATTTCTTCCTCATATGTGAATTTTATGTTGTCTGTGTCTTCAATATTGTTCAGGTGTTCTGTTAGTGTCTCTGATTGTCCTCTTGGTATAATTTCTAGTACACAGTGGTTTTGGTTTTGAGAAGTATTTCAGTGATGTCGTAGATTCTGAGTAGCCTGGTTTGCCCCCTTTCATATGTGAATACATACAATCTGTCCACGACTCATAGATCTCAGTCATGGGACGGAATCTACGGTTGTCTTCCAAACTGTCTCTTCATGCTATTGGATAACAAACAACGTGACATACTCATTGCTTCAGATGTCGGTCAACAGGGCAGTCCACCATACACCGTCAACAAAGAAACAAAAACATTTTTCTTCTGAACAAAATTACTTAAATATCTGCTTATAACACAAAGAAAAGCCTAAGCCTAAAAAGTCCAAAGCTGATGGCCAAGCCGTTTCAAATGAGCCCTCGCCATCTTAGATTTGCTCGGTCGCAGTAGCAAACCGTCCACCAAACCAACAGAGCAATTGGCCAGCCACCAGCCGAGCCGGGGTTGCAGTGGTTCCGATGGAGCATGGCTAGACCGTCACGCAGAGCAAAACCATTTTGCTTCGACAACTCATTGTCTATATTTCTAGGCTAGACTCTGACACTTTGGAAGCAGAAAAAACACTGAATAATACAGAATAATAGAAGCACTGTAGAATGTTGGTAGTCTGAAACCATGAAAAGATTTACCTGAAGTTGTTACAACCCAGCACCACTCCCACTATGTTCTTGCCAATGTCATGGACATCTCCTTTCACTGTAGCCAGAACAATGGTGCCCTGATAGGGATCCTGTAGATGGTGGGGAAAATATCAGAAACACTCCACCACCAGCAGCCAGTCAGATGTTTACTGCTGGGTTACTTTGCATACGGGTTTCTAGAGCGGAATCGAATCATTGAATGGTTCGAATAGTTTGATTCATTAAATTCTTCGATTCATTTTTTACGGATTTGAAGCTTTGTTAAATGAGCGCACCACAGTTTGAACACATGTGGTAATCTAGGTGCAGTGGGGGAAAATAAGAGAAACCAGCAAAGACAAAAACCACAGTAAAAAAGGCAAAACGGTCCAAAGTTTGGGAACGAGTTAATTTACGGGCAGATTAGCTAATGATAAGCTAGCTGGCAGCATGCTCACGATCAAGTGGAGTTCAGAAAAAACGTGATGTTGTGAATGACTCAACTCTACAAGTGTAAGGAAAAATCCCCACCATTCCGTTTATGTGGTGATGTCTGCAGCTACAGCAGTCTGGAGCATTTCCAGTAGCTTACTACTGAACATGTTAATGAATTACTTCAATTTTACTGATCGCATGTGGGCTTATTTAGATGAGTTCAGACAAGGATATTAAACCAAATATTTTAATGAAATGCAAGTCGAATTTTGTTCCATAAATTATTTATTACCTAAAAATATCAGCTGGGAAAGAGGGAACTAGACGACACAAATTTAATACATATTGTTGATCCTTTTGGAATTTTGCTGTTTATTTTTTATTTTTGGCTGCATATCTTTCTCTCGTTTCAAAAGTTTCGATTAAACGAAGGAGGATTCAATAGAATATTCGAAAACAATGGGAATCAGAACTCACCACCTCCTCAGCCGACCCTGATGCTATAATCATCTCCTCCCTCTCCTTCTCCATGAAGGGAATCAGATAACCAACCGCCTTCTTCATAACGCGGGCTGACTTGATCACCTTCAAGACAGCACAAGCAGCGTTTCTGACATGGTTTCACAAACACATGGAACCACAATGTTATTGTTATCATTCAAAGACAAGAATTTTGCTTTGACAACTTATGGTCTAGATTTTGACATGAAGATTGTAATGATAATAGTGTTAAAGGTATTTTAATTTGGGATGCACTCTATCAATAGCATTGGTATCGGCCAATAACTGGTGTTTATTTCCATTTTGTGTGTGTGTGTGTGTGTGTGTGTGTGTGTGTGTGTGTGTGTGTGTGTGTGTGTGTTGGGGGCCATGTGGTAAGGGCTGTGGATCGTTTAGTCAAAAATGTAGAGTATAATATAATCAATGAACATCGGTCATTATCATTATCATTAATATTATTATTATAACAGAAGTTTTAATATTGTATATTTGCCCAAAATTTCATATCAGTGTATTCCTTAATCTTAATGCTTAACATCACAGTGTAAAAAAGGCAGGACTCCTCTCATGGTGCTCTGAATAAATTCTACACCCATGCCGAGTTATCCTCTGAATGACCTAAATCTGATTCCATAAACGTCCAGCAGCAGGAAGAGAGCACGGATGTTCTTGTATAAAACATGTTATCACCATCTACTTGGTCCTTTGTTTTGGACACTGTGACTACAAACAGAAAACAGATTTATGACCCATATGGGGTCGACGGTGGCACAGGAGTTAAGTGCCTCGCCTCTGTCAGTGCGCCCCAGGGCAGCTGTGGCTACATCGTAGCTCATCCCCACCAGTGTGTGAATGTGTGTGTGAATGGGTGAATGACTGTGTTGTAAAGCGCCTTGGGGGGTTCCAGGACTCTAGAAGGTGCTATATCAAGTACAGGCCATTTACCATTTACCATATCTTCGTTTTCGTCTTTCATTTGTCAGGCTGAAACAGAGGCCATACTGGACCATACAGCAGACAAAAATGAACAGAAGTACCTGTGGTAGGAACATCTTCCCTGCTCCAAATAAGTCTCCAACCACCTTCATACCATTCATCAAGGGGCCCTCAATGATGTGAAGGGGTCGCTTGTAGCGGTCAACCAGAGCCCGGCACTCCTCTACATCCTCCACCACATATTTCTCTATTCCCTGATAGAGAACAGCATAATAATTTGTATAAGAAGCACATGAACAAATTCAGAGTGTACATTTGAACAGTTTGCGAATGTTTAAAAAACCTATTGAGAACAGATGCTGTCAATCAAAATAAACTCAATGGAATTAAATGCTGGGAACATCTGGAAGAGTCTCCTGAATGAGCTTCAATTTCCACCTACGACAGAACTTCTAAACTGTTCCAGGGAAGGCAGGGGACAAATGGGCCCTGTTCAGTGCCTCCATTGTTGAGGCGGCCGACCACAGCTGTGGCCACAGTGTCGTCGGTGCATGTTGTGGCAGCAACCCCCGAACCTTCTGGTGGACACTGACGGTTAGGGATGCTGTCAAGCTGACGAAAGATATCAGTTTTTTTTGGTCTGTGGGACTCCAGAGGCCACTGATAGGTACCGGCAGTCCAAGCTGAATGCGCCCCGGGGGGTCATGGAAGCAAAAAACACAGTCGTGGGAGGAGTTCGGTGAGACTATGAAGCAAGACTTCTGCATGGTTTCAAAGAGACTCTGGTTCACCATCCGGCGCCTCAGAAGGGAAAGCAGTGTACTACCAATACCATTTATAGTGGAGACTGTGTGCTGCCGTCCTGTGGCGGATTGTCGAACCTCGTATTTAGGAGAAGCAAAGTGGTTTTCGTTGTGGCTGTGGAACACTAGACCAGCTCTATACCCTTAAGACGGTCTACATCATATACGTAGACAACCCATGGATATAGGAGCTGCTTATTGGAGCTGCAGTAGCAGTGGGCCGCCATCTTGGTTGGGTCCCTATTCTCCCAAGTGCATTTTTTTCTACTTATGAAGGTGTTTATTCAACTAAAAAACACACATGCTTTATACAAAATCATACATGTGGTATGGCATGACTGATGGGGACAGACCTTTAGGAACGGCTTGTTTAAAAAACGATCGCGGCTTCAATCGCAATAAAAAGCAAGTCACTTCCATGATAAACGGAAGTCATTGCAGAGACCATCCCCATAGCTCCTTTAAGCCGCCATGGCCTAATCTTTTATGAAAAAGGACACGATTGCGCCACATTACCACCACGGTCTGACCACTTATAAATGACCTAAGGGTCCCTGATGCCACCGAGGCATTGCAGCTAATTGACAGCATTGTTTTGTAAAAACGGCTTAAGAGAGAGGCCAGCCGCCCTGCAAAGAAAAATAATTTTGGCCGCTAGTATCCGCACTCTCAATCTTTTGGTCACTACCCAAAGCTTGTTACTGTAGGTGAAGTGGTGACAAGTAAATCGAGAACTTTGTCTTCTGGCTCAGCTCTCTCTTCATCACAACAGATCGGTACAATGCCCACATCACTGCAGACGCAGCACCGATCCGCATGTCGATCTCGCCCTCCATCTTTCCCTCATTTGTGAATAAGACCCCCAAGATACTTCCACTCCTCCACTTGGGACAGGACCTCCTCCCTGACCCGGAGAAAGCAATCTACCTTTTCCGATCCAAGACCATGGTCTTGGATCTGGAGGAGCTGATTCTTATCCCAGCTTCTTCACATTCCGCTGCAAACCACTCCAGTGAGAGAGATCACATTCTGATTAAGCCAACAGGACCACATCATCTGCAAAAGCAGAGACCGGATCCTTAGGCCGCCGAAACAGATCCCCTCAACACCAGGGCTGTGCTGTGTCCATTAAAGTTGTGAAAGGAACCGGTAACAAAGGGCAGCCTTGCCGGAGTCCAACTCTCACTGAAAACAAGCTCGACTTACTGCCGGCAATGTGGACCAAGCGCAGACACCGGTCATAAAGGAACCTAACAGCCCGTATCAGAAGGCCTGGTACCCCATACTCCCAAAGTACCTCCCAAAGGGCCTCCCAAGGGATGTGGTCTAAAGCATTCTCTAAATCCACAAAACACATGTAGATGTCCCTCCAGAGCCGCCCTAATAGGGTAGAGCTGGCCCAGTGTTCCACAGCCAGGAAGAAAACCACATTGCTCCTGATGAATCCAAGGTTCGACTATCCAGTGGATCCTCCTCTCCAGAACCCCTGAATAGACTTTACCATGTAGGAGCAGGAGTGTGATCTCCCTGCAGTTTGAACACACCTTGCGGTCCCCCATCCATTTTAAAAAAGGGGGACTACCACCCCGGTCTGCCATTCCAGTGGAACTGCCCCAATGTCCACACAATATTGCAGAGTCGTGTCAAACAACACAACCCTACAACATCCAGAGCCTTGAGGAAATCTGGGTGGATTTCATCCATCCCTGGAGCCTCGCCACCGAGGAGCTTTTTGACCACCTCAGTGAACTCAACACTAGAGATTGGAAAGCCCAACCTAAAGTACCCAGACTCTGCTTCCTCACTGGAAGAAGGCACTTCCAGGGATTAGAAACATAAAGGAGTGGGATGGAGGTTGTTGAAGTACTCTGCCCACCAATCCACTATGTCCCGAGTAAAGGTTAGAAACACAACATTTGCACTATAAACAGTGTTGGTAGAGCACTGCTTTCCCCTCCTGAGGCACTGGATGATGGACCAGAATCTCCTCCATGGTCTCACCAAACTCCTCTCATGCCTGGGTTTTTGTCTCTGTGACCACCCGGGCCACATTCCGCTTGGCCTGCCGGTACTCATTAGCTGCCTCTGGAGTCCCAAAGCCCAAAAAGCCCCAATAAAACTCTTTCTTCAGCTTGACGGAATCCCTAACCGTCAGTGTCTCTCCAGCAGGCTCTAGGATTGCTACCACAACAGGCACTGACGACCCTGCAGCCACAGCTCCGGTCAGCTGCCTCAACAATGGGAGCATTAAGCATGGCCCACTTGGACTCAGTGTCCCCCGCTTCCCCCGGAACATTTTGGAAGTTGTGTCGGAGGTGGGAATTGAAACCCTCAAAGCACGTTTGGGCCTGCCAGGTCTGACCAGCATCCTTCTCTACCACCAGGTATTGATCAGTTGACGGCTTCTCCCACTCTTCACCCGAGTGTCCAAGACATGCAGCCACAGATCAGATGAGACGACAACAAAGTCTATCATCGAGCTGCAGCCCAAGATATCCTGGTGCCAAGAGCACCTTTATTTCTGAAAGTGGAAATTCCATGATGATCACAGAAGTCCAATAACAAAACACTGCTTGATTTTAGATCAGGGCGGCCATTCCTCCCCACCACACCTCTCTCCAGGTCTCATCGTCATTGCCCACGTGAGAGTTAACGTTTCCCAGCAGAATGATGGAGTCACCGGAAGGAGCGCTCTCCAGCAACCCATCCAAGTACTCCAAAAAGGGTGGGTAGTCTGAACTGTAGTGCATAAGCGCAGACAACAGCCAGGACCTATCCCCCCACACTTAGGTGGAGGGAGGCTACCCTCTTCTCCAGGGTAAATCCAATGTACAGGCACCAAGATAGGGGGCAACTAGTATGCCCACCCATGCTCGGCACTACTCAGCAGGGGCAGCTCTAGAGTGGTAGAGTTTCCAGTCCCTCTCGAGGAAACTGCTTTCCGGAGCCAGAGCCATGCATCGAGGTGAGTCCGACTAAACCTTGTCGGAACCTCTCAACGTCTTACACCAACTCAGGCTCCTTCCCAACCAGAGAGGTGACATTAAACGTAATGAGCCAGCTTCTGTAGCCGAGGTTCAGACTACCAAGGTCCCCACCTTCAGCTACCACACATCACTCATTGCACCCAAAGTCCAAGTCACTGGGGTAAAAGTCCAATTCAAGTGCAAGTGTTTGAACGCTTTATCAAGTCAAGTCTACTGACATCAAATTAATGACTTGAGTTCAAGTTGTAAGACTATAAACCACATCTCTGGGCTGGAAGGGCATTTATTCTCCAGATCTCCAGTTCCAATGTATTTCATTTGCAAACAGAAAGTACAAGATGATGTGTGAGTGAACGTGTCTCACCTTGATGAGTGCATACTCCAACCTTTCCTCTACGCTCGCTTCTCTCCATTCATCTGTCTGGATCACCTTCTTCCCTCCTTTCACATTGTTCTGTTAACATTCAGGTTAATGAAGGACCAATTTGTTCAGTGTGTGCGTGTGCGTGTGCGTGTGCGTGTGTGTGTGTGTGCGTGTGTGTGTGTGTGTGTGTGTGTGTGTCTACCTGTGCATAGGCAAGCAGTTTGTCAGTAGCTTCTGTATCTCTGTTCCAGATAAGGTTTTCACAGAGTAACAACAGCTCCTTGTTTATGTCATCATAAACAGGCAGGTTTCCAGCATTCACAATTCCCATGTCCATCCCATCCTGACAAAGTTCAAATAATAATTCAACATTATAGTTATGAATAAATATTGATCTATGAAGCTGATTTTATAATGTGTTTTATTTTACTAAAGGAAGTAGCTTATTTCCACTCTAAAACATTTTTGTGAGTTAGTTTACAAAAAACATAAGAGTAACTTTTCTATGTTTCTATGTTTACTGACAGGTTTCTTAGCTCATTAAAGGTGTGCTTCGCTGGTTTAAACAATACATTTGCAGTGGTCTCTAGTATGAATCCTTGCAAGTTGCACTCTGGGCACAAAAAGCACTGGTGCGCCTGTTTCAGGATCTAGAAGATTAACAGATCAGCGGAGAGCTTCCGTTGGCAGGATGTTGAGTCTTATTTTATGCTGGTTGGATATCTTGCCTCTGATTGGCAAACAGCAATGCAACTCTACCACTGACTCCATTTACTTTGCAATATTGATGTTTTATCTCCCCATATAACATCCCTGCATGAGGTTCTGCTGTGCGGTTGAGTTATTAATGCTAACAGTTAGCTTCTATTAGCCACGACATTCTCAGCTGTTTCCTGGATGCTAAACCAACAAGAACCCTCCCCATCATGAGTCAAGATGGGGGAATCCGTGAATAGTCCATGAAGTAATAGTGTGACGTAGATCTGCCAGGTTTTTCAAATCCCAGAGTTTCACCGTCTATTTTCTATCAGAAGCTAATGCAGGCGATAGGTGTAGGGGACTTTCTTCATGTTCAGCCTGCATGAAAAACTCAGAGTGACCCATTATAATCAGGAATAATCAATGAAAATCTGGTCCTTTGGTGTGAGTTGGTGTGGGACTGGTTGTCTGTTTGTCCCTGTGATGGACAAAATAATTGATTGACTTGTATTTTTAGAAATACACTTTTTAAACTGTGTAAATGACAAAATCCTTTTAGCCAACTTAAACAAAAAAGGGTTTAGATATGTCACACTGTGGTGTCCCACAGGGTTCTTTTTTTGGCACGGTGTAGTTCTTTCTGCTTTTTTTTTAATGACATTTTAAAATTTTCAAACATGTCAACACCAGTTATGTTTGCAGATGACACAGTATTAGTTGTGTCACACTCAAATTTGAAAACTTAGATTGAGAATGTTCATTTTGGTCTGGCTGCCTACACAGATGAAATTGAATAACTTATCTTTAAATATTATAAAAAGTCAAATTTTATAATTTCTAGTAGAATAATTATACAATATAGATGTAACCCTAGTTAAAATCAAATCTGCTGAGTTACCCCAGGTATCAACTAGGGATGTTCGTCAGTCTACCATTAATATCAGCCGATATTGGCATTATAATTTAATATAGGAAAATATTGATTTATCAAATATTGGTATAAAATGCCAATATCTAGCATCCCTAGTATCAGCTAAAAACTAGGGGTGGCAATTTAACGCTCCAATTATGATTCATTAATTAGACAAAAAGGGCGCTATAAAAAAAATTCACGCATTTAATCACAGCTTGCATATCAAGCAAGGTGGAACCTTCGTCATTGTATAATTTCCTCGTAGACCGGATGTCACTGACGCACACAGTGCCACTAAAGTGTTACTAAAACAGAATAAAAACAGAAAGAAATTGCCTTGCTTGGACTGATGCAGTACTTGGAAAACACGTCAGCTAAACTTGTAAAAGAAAAAAAAACCTTCCTGACAACTACGGAGTCCGTGTCACGGACCTTTTTTCAGAGATCGTCTCTGATCTCTGCTGCTGCTGCCTGGTGGCACCAGAAACTGTACAAAAGTCAAGGTAAGCTATTGTTTTTACATTTCTGTAACGTGTGTGCAGCGCTGAAAGCACCAGACAGAATACATTTTTGCCCTAACAGTAGTTTATGAAAGTAGTCCGACAAACGAGACACCTGCTGCAGCTCTGTGTTCTCACTGCTCTATAAACAGTTACAAACGAGTCTTAAAGTAACAGAAACTTCTCAAATCTCTGATAATTATGTTGGTTTATTACATGTTTCTGAGACGAGCCACTGTAAACATCTCATGCGTTACTATCATTAAGCAGCGAGGTGTGTTGAAGCGGCCATCAGCTGGTGGGGAGCTAAAGGAGTGGATGTTTAAGCGCATCGGCGCAGCGAGGAACGGGAAAGTTGCGATCTGGCTGGAGATCACACCAGATTCGCTGCTGCAGGCGTGAATCTGTGAAACTGCGGCCATCCCCTTCTTGTCTTGTCTCCCCATGTAAGGAACCGCTCACCTGTTCACCACTCAGGCGTCAGATCATTAATTTCTCGTCATGATCTGTTATCCTCTGATCATTCTCCAGTCATCCACCTGGAACCAGTTAGTGCTCTTGAATATGTCACACCTGTTCTGGTGTTTAAAGTTAATAAATTCAAGTCCTAGATCGTATTTGTGCCTGTTCTACTGTCATTTTTAAGAATTTATATATACATGTACACCATATGTTAATGCTAATAAAAACACACAGTTATACAAACAAGTGAAACTGGAAAAAGTGGTCCTAGCCTGGCCTGCCAGACTAATTCTACACAGAGAGCTAGTGTGGTAACTCACAGGCAGAGAGGCACATGAGGGGCGGGACTAGCCAGCTCAGAAATAACCAATCAGAAAAAAGGCGGAAATGCCGACCGTACTGCTGTAGTGTTTTAGCTGTAGTCAAAAATGGCGTCTAGCGACGCAAACATCTTTCTTCAGAACAAATGCTTTTAGCGCTTCTACTTGTGTTTTACAGACACGTCCAAGTCCTTTAGAACAGAGGAAGGAGCCGCAGCGAACTCCGCTTCAGACGCCGTTTTCTTGTTTATGACAAACTGAGCGTCGTGGTGTGTGACGTCCGCTGCTCAGCACCGATTGGCTCGGTTTGAATTTTCAGGGGGTGGGGCTATTTGAGCAGAGTTTCCAGACCCTTTGCTTCCATTAGGAAGGCAGGCTAGTAAAGTCCATTTATTTCAGTAATTCAACTAGACAGAACGACTATTTAAATGCTCAGGAACCTTTGCAGGTGCTTTCTATTTGCAATTATAAATTAGAGTTGACTGGGGCTGCGTTTCCCACAGTGACATTTGAATAACTAAAATGCATTTTTAGTCATTAAAAGAGTTTACAGTAATGATAACCATGTCTAATGATTCTCTGCCTCATCATCTTTCATTAAAAAATTGCTTTGAGGACGTTTTCCCGAACGACTAAAATGGCTTAGTTAGCTCTAACGTGACATGCCAGCTTCTCCGGTGGGCGTTTAAAAATGTATTTCATTAAGAGAGCATCAACAGTAATTCTTCTTCACATAGAGAAATAATTTCCTGTACTAGGTGAATTCCAGATATTATTACTTTTTAGTCTCATTTACTTTATTATTCTCAATGCTATTGTTCTTGTAATTGTACGACTAAACTGTTGTTGGTGGAGGCTTTGGAGAAGCCTGACTGATTTTTGCCTCCTGTGTTTTAAACGTATTACTTACGCATTGTGTTTATTTTTACTGTGTAAATAAACAAGTGACAAAATAACATGTTGGGAATGTTACTTTTAAAAAGTAATTAGTTAGTTACTGATTACTTTGTCAACAAAGTAACTTAGTTACTTACAAAGTTATAAGATTATAAAAGTAACTGATTACCAACAAAAATAACTTTTTCGTTACTTTTTTTCCTTAAAGAATGCTAGAAAATGGGTTCCCCTCTTAATTAAACTTAATTTACTATAAATGACTACAACAGTGAAATGTAAATGACTAACGACTGGAACAAAATACATTGTTTTTTCATAAAACTGAATAACTGAAATAAATGGGCACTCAACAGGAGGAACAGGAACATTACACTAATCTTGACTATTGAAATGTCACCGTGTGATATTTAACAATCAGCTAAAGTTTATAATTACAAACAGAAACACCTGAAAAAGTTCCTGAGCCTTTAAATGGTCTCTCAGTCTAGTTAAGTATTCTAATGTTTCCAGCTTCACATAATTGTGTGTTGTAGCAGCATTTCTGTTGCTGGTAATCTAGTAATGGTTACATGAATTAATAAAATAAAAATGATGCATCAGCGTTACAGCGGGACTAAAGACATGATCCGAAACAGGTTACAGCTGGATGATCTAGGAAGGTAGAAGATCAGGACGTCTGAGCGGTGAACAGGTGAGCGGACCTTCGGGACGTCCCGCCGTCACGCTAAAGCCTGATTTATGCTTCTCCGTCTGCGTCAGTGCGGAGACACGCAACGCCATTATCCGTCCTTGCGTAGGGCTCCGGCAGGCACGCAAGTACGTACGGAGTCGAGCCCACTTTTTAAACATCCATCGAACGAAACGGAGTACGCAAGCTTGTGATTGGTCAGGACGTTGCTGTTGTTTACTGCGCCGCCATTGCAAAGAGAGCCGTGTTTAACTAGCGGCAGACACGGAGAAGTTTGAAGAATACCTCGCGAAAAAACTCTAAAAATATGAACGTTTCATCCTCCCGTGACTGGAGGAGTGAAAAGATGCGCAGCAAGCGTTTTATTTGTGGACGGAAATGACAGGAAACGTGGGTTTAGAGGTGGGGAGCGCATGAAGCGGTGGGAGAATGAGAGACAAATATGTCCGTGTTAAAAGTCTCTTACATACACAAAAAACACAATATAAACACACGATCTTGGACCGATACATGACAGGATACCACAGAACAGCGCTACGCCCTCTGTTGTCCTGCCGGGCAATTGCTTTGCAACACTCTCCAGGAGACGGAGAAGTATGAGAGCAAAACGCTTCCGTCAATCCGTGCGTGTCTGTCCCTTGCGGAGCTGACGGAGAAGCATAAACCAGGCTTAAGAAGCTGCAGATTCACACCTGCAGCAGCGACTCTGTGGATCTGCAGCTGTAGATTCATCACGTCTTCCTCGTTCTTCACGGGCTGTGATGAGCTTGGATGAAAACATCCGCCTCTTCTGCTCCCGATCAGCTGATGACGGCTTCAACACGCCGTGCTGCTGAATTAGTAACGCACGCATTTCCTCATCAGTAACGGAAACGGCGTTATGATAAAAGAAGACGGTAATTAATTAATTACTCATTAACTATTTTTTTAGTAGCGCCGTTCTTTTAAACTGTGTTATTCCCATCACTGGTCCTAATAGCACTATGTGACGATCGTAAACCAGGTCGGGGAAAAGAGTCTGACATGAGACAAGGAGACGGGACGTGTGTGTGTTTACCTTGATGGCATGATAAAGGAAGGCTCCATGAATAGCTTCTCTAATGGCTTCCATCCCCCTGAAGGAGAAGGACAGGTTGGAAAGACCTCCACTCACCCTGGCTCCTGGTAAAGTCTCCTAAATAACAATGGGTGAAGATTGCTGAAACAGATCTAATAGTGTTTCTGTTTAGAATGAATGAAGAAGCCTCAACAACAGTCTGATGTCAGAAATAAGTAAGTTTTCACTAGAAATACAACAGCTGCATAAAAGTGCTCCTAGCTGTGGCAGCTCCATTACCTTGATAAGTTTGGTGGCTGTGATGAAGTTGACAGCATAGTCACTATGCTCCTCCATACCTGTACCAATGGTTAGGATGTTGGGGTCAAAGATGATGTCATTGGGGTCAAATCCCACCTTGTGAACCAGCAGTTTGTAGGCTCGAGTGCAAATCTCCACCTTGCGGTCTGTGTCTGTGGCCTGGAGAGCAAAACACACTCCTCAGTTTTTGTGTGTGTGATCTTAGCATAACTGCCTGCTCACCTGTCCCTCCTCATCAAAGGCCATGACCACCACAGCAGCACCGTAGCGCTTCACAGTGGCCGCTCGGAGCAGGAACTCCTGCTCTCCCTCCTTCAGGCTGATGCTGTTAACGATGCACTTGCCCTGACAGCATTTCAGCCCGGCCTCAATCACTGCAAAGTTGGATGAGTCAATGCACAGAGGAACCTGAGGAGAAAACCACAATGTTACTATGGCGCAGTGTCTAATACGCCACTTGAAACTAATCACTTTCAGGAAGAGGCACAAGATACTAACATAATACGGTTTAATCATGCACCAACACAGAAACGTGGAGAATGTGCAAGTTCCAGTATCCTACCCGTGCAATGTCTGGCTCAGAAGCAATGAAGTTACAGAACCGTGCCATAGCAGTTGGCCCGTCCAGCATGCCCTCATCCATGTTTATGTCTAAAATCTGAGCTCCCATCTCCACCTGGGCCTTAGCAATGCTCAGAGCCTCCTGAAGAACAAACACAGAAGCAAATCCCCAGAAACTTTACTTAGATCACTTGTTGCAGCTTCAGAAGATTCTGAGTATAAAAAAAGTAACCTCATATTGTCCAGCCATGACCAGCCTAGCAAACCTGCGTGACCCAGCCACGTTGCAGCGTTCGCCGATGTTTACGAAGTTTGTATAAGGGCCAATCCTGAATGGCTCCAAGCCTGTAAAATTACAATCATTAGCTTTACTTTGGGGCTGCGTGGTGGCATGGTTGGTAGCCATGTTAACTCTCAGCAAGAATGCTGCAGGTTTGAATCCTGCCAGCACAGCCCTTCTGCATTCGTGAGAAGACTTTCTCCAGGTTTCTTTACAAAAGCAACAAATATGCTTGTTTGTATGATGGTACTCTAAATTGTGCCTCGAATGGATGGATGGATATAGAGATGGAGATGACGGATAGACAATGTCCAGCTATTAGACTTTTCCCAATCAAACAGCACAGTAAAAAAAAAAAAAAAAAGAAATTCAAGAATATGATTATTATTTCAATGGTAAGAATTTGACATGTATTCTGAAGTGTTCTAGTGGTGAATACTGACATGTTTTTGTAAATATGTCTTCACAAACAGGTGCAGGCACATTTTGATATGTTGCATCTGACGTTAGTGACGTACGCTGCGCGCCGAGTGCCGGCTGGAAGGGATATAAACACAGATAAACATGGCCTCTCACTAGTGTCGTTCAACCTCCTACAGCATGGCAAACTGGACGGACGCGGAGACCATGGAGCTTTTGGCCGTGCGAGCGGACGAACAGATTAGTCGCCTTTTTACGGGGACGGTGAGAGGCAGCCAGCTGTTCGACTGAGTGGTGAAAACACCGGCTGAGCGGGGCGTCAAGCGGGACAAAAAGCAGGTCGCACCAAAGCTAAAGGTCCTGAAAAAGAAATTTCATCAGTCTGACGTGTCTTCCGCCGGACGCTGAATGCGCGACCCTGTACGTCACATGGGGGGGGGGGGGGGCACCCAGCGACCTCCCTTTATCCCGTCTTGGTTTGAGAGGTGCCTGATGGCAGTTTATTCTAGCTTCAGCTTTGCTACTATAAATGCCAAAATCCTCCCAGAGAGCCGCGGCAAATCCCGTTTTGCGCATCAGACTGGTGGCATTGGATGAGACAGCGCTCGTGAAGATGATTAAAGGGAGGCTCCTTCATTCAAATCCATATTTAATTAGTTACAACTATTTAATTAGTTCTAAAGGTTTGGATGAAAATCAACATCAGTGCTTTCTGTAAATCCTATAGACTTTCTTTCATTTCTCAAAAATCACAGTGTGTCTCCTTTTTGATATATTTACCTGAAATTGTATTTCCCACGTCCTGGTTAGCTGCTAGCTATCTGCATGTTAGATCTAGGATCTAGGTCAGACCTTGGTGCTATATCTGACCTGGATATTCTCTCTCCATGTCAGAAACCGGTTCTCACTAGCCTTGAGGTTAGGCTTGAATCTGGATTAAAATTTGACTCCCATATCAACCTGGCGGTATGCTCCTGCTTTCTTCATTTGCGTCGCCTAGCTAAAATTAAGCCATTGCAATCACAGACCCACTTGGAAGGAGTATTCCATGCCTTTGTGATATCAAGGCTGGATTACCGTAACTCTCTGTATGATGGCTTGGACCCGACTGCTCTTCGACGTCTGCAACTGGTGCAGAACAGTGCAGCCAGGTTTCTGACGGGGTCTAAGAAATGGGACCATATTAGTCCTGTGCTGGCTATGCTCCATTGGCTTCTTGCCCCCCATAGGGGCAGAGTATAAACTTATTTTATTTGTCTGTCAGTTTTTTCAGGGCAGTGCTCCTCCATACCTTGGGGATTTGTTAAAAAGACATGTACCCTCAAGGTCATTGAGCTCTGCAGATCAGTTCCTGCTAACTGTTTCTCGCTCCAGGTCTAGGACATGTGGGGATAGGGCATTATCTGTTTTAGCACCGTCCCTCTGGAACACGTTACCTCTTAACATTAAGCGGTCTTCATCTTGGACTGCTTTTAAGAGGCGCTTGAAGACTCATGTTTATCGTACGGCTTTCACCTAAATCTGTTGTTGTGGCTGGTTGTAACTGATTTTAATAGGTTTTTTTATTTTGTTTGCTATTATTGATTTTTTTTCTTTTTGATCCCAGTTTTATTGGTTTCTTGTTTCTGTGTTTTATTTGTGCTGTGTTCAGCTCTTTGGGTTCCCCTTGAGGATGATGGATAAAAATAAAAGTTGATTGATTGATTTATCATCACCAACAGGAAAATCATGAATATTAGGACGTTGCCCAAACTTTCGCATCCTACTGTATATAGTCTCTTTTTGCTGCCTGCTGCTTAAAAGACTACTACCGCCCAGGTGAAAAGACTCTCGTCCACCAGCATACTTGGTAGCAGAGACAATGTCTCTTGTCCAGCTGGAGAAAATCAGGGACACTTTAGGGGCTCAATTTTAAAGTTTAATTCTATATGGCTGTCATTTATATTTTATTGTGATGGTGTGTCTGGATTATTTTGTGATTGTGTTTTTATTCCTTTTATAAGATTGTGTATTTTGGGTTATATCACTTAGTCACCTGTTTTATGTTCGCTCGTGTTTTCTTTAAAGGGACTTTTCGGACTTTTGAATTTTTATGCTCGCGATTGCCCCCTCAGGCCAAAAGCGTAACGGCAGCTTCAACAGTAGGCTCGTGCACGAGGCGCGCATGCTGGACGTGCACACTCCTTAACGGAAATAATAGCTGAGACAGTCCCGTGTGTGTGTGTGTGTGTGGCCCGGAGGACAGAGGACAGGAGAACGCGCAGCTAATCAATTAAATAATTTGGTTCTGTAGCTTTCTCTTCAGCACAGCCGACAAAGGTTTATGATGGGTCAGTCCTCCTGCATGCTCAGATCATTCCCTTCCCTTGCTTGAAAAATTGTTCCAAAATGAAAGTTGAACCCACATCTTTTTTATCTGTGAATTCAATGCCGTTCGGCGAGCCTCAAATAAAAATTTGGGCATCTTACTGTAAAAAAATATACCATTAATGTAAAAAATAAACTCTAAATGAACTATGTTCACATCCAGAATCGAACCCAAGTCTTCTGCACAAGGGTCAGACATCTTACTAGGTGAGCTAAAGCGCCAGTGACGTCCATTGCATCTGTAACATTTATATCCTTGATGACAGCTGAAACAACGTTCAAAGAACGGTTCGGAGTGAAAATGGCTATTTTGTTGCTAATTAGCAGGAAATATCTAGAAGAAAGTTCTACAGAAAGTAGCTAAGGGTCCTCAGAAATGTAGCTAGCTTTGTCACTAGGCGTTAGGAACAGCGACAAAGTGGCACTGCCTCTCTCTCTGCTGCTAAAGCTACGGATAGCAAACGCTACGGGCGATGCCTGAGCGTGAACGCGCATGAAGCAGCCTGCTCGACCCGAGCATCTCTCTTTTTCTGTGATTTTACAGAAAAACAGGCAATCACAGTAAAAATGCCAGGGCTCATTCTACAGGACCAGGGCATTGCAGGAGAACGTATGAAGAAGACATTTATTATTTCTATACGTGTTTTGGCTGTCACACTTCCATAATCAGGGGCGTAGCACCAAATTCTGAGCCCTAGGTACAAGTCTTCCAGGTGGGCCCCCATGCTCATTTACTCAATATCTCTCTTACACATTTTTTGTCATGCTATAAGACAAGATAATAAATATGATCTTAGTTTAACCTCTATATTGAGCAAATACAAATGCCAGCATAATAAAAGTGAAATGCCCAGACTTCACATATAATTATTTTTATTACCAACAATGTGTTCAAACAAAAATCCTGGAATTTATTTTCCAGTAAATGCCCACTGACGGGTCTTCATGTTAGCAAAATCACTTATGAGATCTTTAAAGTCCAATCCTTTGGCTAATTGGCTTTCAATAGAAAGAAGAGCTAGGCTGTTCGGTCTATCCTGGGACATTGTTGATCTCAAATAATTTTTCACCAGTTTCAGTTTGCTAAAAGCCCGTTCACCCCCAGCAACAGTCACAGGTAGTGTGCAAAATATCCTCAGTCCAAAACAAACTTCTCCAACAATGCTCTGTAATTGCATCCTGTATGGCATTAAGCAGCTCAAGAGGAGACCGAATGTGTGGAAATGTGGCACCATATATTGTTCTCAGGTGTAGCATCTCATTCTCAAATTCAGCTGTGAGATCCTTGTAATGTTTTCTCATCAGTGCCTGGCATGATATCTTCATCTGCTCTTCAGTCATGTCTGTCATGGCTCATGATGTTAAGCTTTGCTAATACTGATATATATTGATATATTAAATACATATGACATGAAATAAACCAGGTTCTCTCTGTGAATGTAATGTACTCTAAATTTTATAATCGCTGCATTATCAGCCAAATTATAAGTTTGTCCGTTTTCAAGATCAAATATTAAGAAATTTAAAATAGGCTTAAAATATCTAACCAAGTCAATAACAATCCTCTAACACCAGTGTCATCGTGCTATACGAAAAACAGTGTCAGCTTCTCATTCCTGAGATTACCACGAATCCATCGATACCAAGTTTGTCCTGGTCCATGACCGGGAAGGAGCTGAAATATCCACACAGAGTGAACCTGTTTTTACTGCGAGGTCCGCCAATTAATTGGCGGCGGCCGCCCGCGATAATAATTCTGATTAATATATATATATATATTTGTGTTTTCACTGACAACACTAATTAATTTATATTTGATCTTGATGGTGAAACTAAAGGCGTTTAACACTGAACACCTAACATGAATGCAGCTTCTGAGAGCTAGCTAATATCAGCTAAAACTGTGTTCTGCTGCTGCTGCTGCTCACCGTCCTTCTACTTGCTTCTGTTCAATTAACTTTTTCTCCTTCTCCTTCTTTTCTTTTCTTTTCTGGAAGCCAGATTTCCCTTTCTTGGGAAAAGACATGACTGACTCTCCTGCCTCCAGCTCTGGCTGTCGACATCTGCGATGTCTCATTAGCTGTACATGCGGCCGTGCAGCCCCTGGCTGCGGGTGTGGACTAAACCACTTTGCACATTTTTAAGGGGTGATAGATGCCTCAGAGATTATTCAGTTATTATTTTTAAGGCGAAATTCTGTTTCTTAACCTCTTTATCCAGGTAAAGGGAAGTTTATTAAGACATTAAGTAAGTTGGGGGGAAAAAACAACAACAATAAAACATTTTTATTCAAAGCTGTCTCAGGGCCCCTCCCTGCAGTGGGCCCTGGGTAAACGGTACCCTTCCCCCCCCCCCCCAGTCCGACGCCCCTGTCCATAATGCCCCTTTAAAGGGTTAGGGTTAGTGTAGTTTTTACCATTAATCTCTGGAAATATCCTTCAAAATGTTGAAAATGAATTAAGATGCCCAGTTGTTAAATAATATTAGCGGTTTCATAACATAGAACCATAAAAATCTGTGTAAGATACATCGGAGTGGGTCAAAGGGTGTGTCCGAATCCAGGGGCAGAATGCTTGTGAGGTCGAGTCGTTGCTTGACCGCTAAAACCGGATTCTGGCACACCTATCGTCTCTGGGCGACGCCATGTTGGATGCCAAGTTTCCTTCTACAAGAGCCCGTGAGGACAAAATGCATTTACTGATTTGTCACAAATGGCTACAAAACTTTCACTGTTAATAAACGTTGTTGTTTTACACATTTGCCTCTCCACTCATAGCCAACGATGAACAGGAGTCTGATGTTCTTGTTATTTTGCTGGAGGTTGCAATCCCCGGGATTTTTGACCCTAATGCAGGGATTGAAGCAAAAAATTCTCATCCGACTGAAAATTATTGGGCGGGGGGGCTCACATTGTTTACATGCAGCCACTATTCGGGTTTTGATGGGTTTTAAGGTCAGTATTCTTGTTTCGGAACAATTTGGAATAACCCGTTCACACACACAGTGTTTAAAAGTGTGGGTGTTGAGATTTCTGAGGTAAAAAAGATGATAAGTATTAAAGTACTCTAGGGGTGTCGGGGGCATGGCACCCCGGAGAAAAATGATTGGACATTTTATATTTAAACACATCGGTCTGGTGCATTTTGGGGGGCAAAAGTAGCGTTACAGGCTGGTAGGTATGTATGATAAAGTACCTATACATGTTCATTATAATGATATATTTGAGTTAACAATGCTATCCTGTCCTTTCTTCATCCATTATGAACACAGACTACAGTTGATGCATCCATGCTGCTCAGCACCAGAACTGCACTAGTTACCAAAAGAACCAATCAGCTGGCAGAGCTGCTGGTGAACGTGTGAGCTGCAGAAAATGAAAAACTCCGTGACTCAATTTAAGGGACAAAGCAGAATCCAGCTGCTGTTGTTTATTTGTTGTTGTTGTTTATAGAAACTAAATATATCTGCAGGACTTCAGGCCCAGGGCAGAGTTTTAGACCTCAGACCAGCTTTAGATCATGACCTGTTATTAATATCATGTTCTTTACACCAATCTGAATATTCTGTAATGTTCACAGACATCCAAACCTTAGAAATGAAATATAATCAATATTAAAATAAAAATTATTAATAATTTTATACTTATTTACATTTGATAGTAATATGATTAATAATATTTAATCTCATCTTCTATCATTTGTGGGTTTAGTGCATTCACTTAATATTAATTATAAAATGATAAATAACAGGTCACTAGTCTGGGCACAGGAAGTGTTTCCAGGACCTAACGCTTGTTCAGCTGTTCCACTGACAGGAGAAATCCTCTCATCAGCAGGTGATCAGCAGAGCGTCATGACTGAACACCGGCCCGGAAAAACCAAGAGACGACTAAAAACACCGACCTCAGATCGGCCCACTGGGAATTTGGGTGCTGGATCCGCTCATCACGTTAACTCTCATTGTGACATCGGAGCTTTACTGGCTCTGTTAGAATCCCAGCGCCTGGTGCACGCGCAGTTTGTGTTTGTGTGCACGGTGGGAGCGAGCAATGAGCGCACGCGTTGTTGCAGCTTGGGCGGTGCAGAACGGTGGAGAAACGCGTTTCAACAACACCGGTGCACGTTTCAATTAGCAACAGGAGAGAGCGAGCGAGAGAGAGAGAGAGAGACTCTACTAAACCCAAGCGAGTGCGAGATGAGATTTTGACTGAACTTTTTTCTGATTATTCAACTGACTGATATCCGTCGCCACGGCGGAGAACTTTAATCCCTGCCCTAATGGCCATCCACTGGTAAGGTCTTTCTTGAACAGGTATCTACTGCCCCCAATCGCCAAGGAAAACGTACACTGTCACTTTAAGCTTGACCCAGTGTAACAAGGTGGGTGGTGGTGGGGCAAGGCAGCTTTATTTATGTAGCACAGTGGTACTCAACCTTTTTTGACTGATGTACCCCCTTTGAAATATTGTTTTCAGCCGAGTACCCCCTAATGAGCGCAAAAGCGTTGGGGGCAGGACTCTGGGATTTTGGGATAATGAATTTAGCCTACTTCTACTGAATATAAAAGACATTTTATGAACTTTTACTTATATTTTCCTAAAATATTTATTAAATAATTATTTTTTGAAAGATTTTCCATGGATACTATTTTTTTAAAATGAATGTACATTTTCTCACGTACCCCCGGAGTTTCTTTACGTACCCCCAGGGGTACGCGTGCCCCCATTTGAGAAAGGCTGATGTAGCAGATTTCATACAGAGGCAAGTCAATGAGCTTCCCATCAGCAAGAATTGTGAGAACATTCAAATCAACAAGATAGAAAATACACTTTATAAATGAAAAGAAACAGAGTTAAAGTTAAAGGGTGAGCAAATGCAGTGCAGAAAGAGCAGCATAAGACCATTTATTCAAAGGCTGATGAAAACATAAATGCTTTGAATTTTGATTAAAAAGGTTCTAGAGTGGGGGGTTCATTGTTATTTACTGCCATGCTTCATTAGAGCCCCAGACGCCCTGTGCCATGCCAATCACAGCGCTCCATCATTTTGCTGGGCCAATCACAGCGCTTGGTGGGCAGGATGATGCCACGGTGCGGAACTACTAAGGTGGAGTTAGCTCGTTTGCTTCGGCATCAACTTTGGTATATTTAGACTTCGGCTTTCGAGTCAAGAGCAGAAAGAGGTGCTTAAGTCCATTATGTGGTATTTGCATCTTCTTTGACAGTGTATGGTGGTCTTTCCATAGCATAGAGTACGTCATGTTGTTCGTTGTCCAATAGCATGCAGAGACACTTTGAAAGATAACCGTCCCATGACTGAACTTTGTCTAAGGGTCGTGGCCAGACTAGATCCACATACCTGAGAGCAGCAGGTAGTGTTGGTAAATATTAGCAGCAGGAACTCTTGGTTGGCAGTGCTTGACCGCTTCAGATATGGCTCTGTAGGGAAAAGGAACACGATACAGTCAAATCTCAGTAATATTCAAGGATCTATTGATCGGAAACAGTTTAAGGACCTTATGTGTGATGGAGTGGTCCCACAACATCCTCCCACAACATTCACCAGTCCATCTATAGCAAACTCCTGCAAATACAAGAGACAACAGAGTAGACCGTGTTCTGTTTAGAAGTTCCATTTCTCTGCTTTCTGGGTTACCAAGTAAAAGCTTAAAGGTGTGGAACACTGAAAAATATTTTTCAAACTATTAATTCTGATTGTAATGGGTCACTGAGTTTTTCACGCAGGCTGAACATGAAATAGTCTCCTACACCTATCTCCTGCATTGGTCTCTGATAGGAAACAGACGGTGAAACTCTAGGATTTGAAAAGCAGGACGGATCTACGTCACACTGACTGTCACTAACATCCATGGACTCACCCATGTTGAGTTGCTATGGGGGAAGGCAGCAGAGAACGTGTTGGCTTGTAGAAGCTAACTGTTAGCATTAGCAACTTCACCACATGGTATAACTCCTCCAGGCTTGTGTTATTTGTGGAGGTTAAACATCCAAGTCAGAGGTAGTCACATTGCTGTTACCCAATCGAAGGCAAGATGTCTAAAAATCAGTAAATAAGACTCCAAATCGTCTGAAGCTCAGCTGTAAGGTGGCTCACTTCTCTTTGCTGGAAGTAGTGCACTGGTGGCTTACTTCAACTAAAACTGGGAGATATCAGCACATTAACCTTCGACAACGGTGGCACAGGAGTAAAGTGCTCGCCCCTTAATCGGACGGTTGCAGGTTTGAGCACTCAAATTTTTGCTGTTGTGTTTTTGGGCAAGACACTTATCCCACCTTGCCTGCTGGTGGTGTTCGGAGGGACCGATGGCGCCTTTGTACGGCAGACTCGCCTTTGTCAGTGTGCCCCAGGATGCGTCATGTGGAATTCTAGGATGTCCAAGGAAGGTCCCGCCTTTCTCGCCTCTGATTGGCTGGAAGGGCTCTACTACGATTGGCTATTTCGTGTAAGAGAGACAGTTTTCCCTCGCTGCAGGATTTTGTTTACAACCAGATCTTGAGGAGTGTTTGGAAGAAATTGTGAACTCATCGCTATAATGAACATCCTTTCCTGTTTAGCAACAAACCAGTTTCAGTTTCTTTCATAAAAGAACCTGAAAAACATCAAATGTGAACTTGTAATAAATCTTGTTGCATTTTATCGCACTGTAGACCGACTTTTTCTGTTATGGGGTTATCTTATTACTTCCATAT